CGGAGCGGCGGCCGCCGCTCCGCCTCCCCGTCGCCCGTCCCCGCTCGGGGGTCCCCGCGGCTGTGGGGATGTTGGGGGGACGCTACAAGGAACTAGGGGGTCCCGATCCCTGGCAAGTTTTATGTGTGGGTCTCCGCCGTGCCCCTCAGGCGCGACATGGAGGGGACGGGGTAGTCCCCGCCCCTGCTGCTCTGCGCCTTGAATGTACTTGTGTGTGAGGGTTTGGGGGGGCAATAAAGAGTGTTAAAAAAACGGTGTGTATTAAAAAAAAAAAAGGCATTAAGCTGTTGGAGAGGGTGGCGAGGGGTCTTGAGGGGAAGGCCTGAGGGTACCCGGGTTTGTTCGGCTCGGAGGAAAGGAGGTTGAGGGGAGACCCCATCGCAGCCTAAGGCTTCTTCCTGAGGGTAAGTGGAAGAGGCAGGCGCTGATGTCTCTGGCCATCAGTGGCAGGACCCGAGGGAATGCCCTTGAAGTTGTGCCAGGGCAGGGTCAGGTTGGATATCAGCATTTAAAAGGTTCTTCCCCCAGAGGGTCGTCAGGGGGACGCTCCAGGAGGAGCGTTTGGACAACGCTCCGAGGGACAGGGTGGGATTGTTGGGGTGTCTGTGCAGGGCCAGGGGTTGGACTGCAATAAAGAGTATTAAAAAAACAGTGTATATTAAAAAAAAAAAAAAGGCATTAAGCTGTTGGAGAGGGTGGCAAGGGGTCTTGAGGGGAAGCCCTGAGGGCACTCGGTTTTGTTCGGCTCGGAGAAAAGGAGGTTGAGGAGAGACCCCAGGACTCGAGGGAATGCCCCCGAAGTTATGCCAGGGCAGGGTCAGGTTGGATATCAGAATTTAAAAGGTTCTTCCCCCAGAGGGTCCTCAGGCCCCAAGGCTGCCACAGCTCCAGGAGCGTTTGGACAACGCTCTGAGGGACAGGGTGGGATTGTTGGAGTGTCTGTACAGGGCCAGGGGTTGGACTGATGGTCTTTGTGGGTCGTAAATTCCTCAATCTTGCTGGCTCCTTGGGCTGTGAAATTAAAATTAAAAATACCACTTTCCAGAAAAAGCAGGGGGTTCGGATAGTTTTCTGTCTCGGCACTAGGTGGCAGCCAAATGTCAGCAGTGGGGCAGCTGGGCCGGGGACCACGGAAAGATCCCGAGGGGAAGCGTTCGGATGGAGAATTGAGTCATCCCGAGGAAGAAAATTGGGTCCGACACCCTGGATAATCCCCCCGCCATGGCTGTGCCCAGAGCGCTCTGTGCTGAGGGATCTGAAGTGAACATAATACAGACACATGCTTGCTGTTACGATTAATCATGGAATTAGGAGTAAACGCTCAGGCTTTTACTGAAAACTGCACAAATGAGAGTGGCCAAAAAACTAGGGGTTATTTATGTACCCACTGCCTTGTAAAATGCACGGATTTCAGAATTGTTTTCATGCACACAGGTCAAAATTATCATGGTGCTCCTTGCTCAGCCCAGCCCAATTCCATTTTTCCCTGAGGCTTTCGTCATCTTTTCCCCCTTCCATCTCACCCTGCTTTTCCACCTTGGTTTACTTGCACTGCTTCAATGGCAGAAGCAGGTAACGGGGAGCAAGAGAAATACAAGATAAATCAGGACATCAAAGGAACAAATCTATTCCCCAGCCCAGCTGAACTTAACTAGCAAGGCAGGACTCTCTCTCCTCAGTGCTTTCTAAAAATATGTTCTGCCCTCCCATTGGTATTGTTTTCCTTTGTGCTTTCTGAGGAATTTTTTCCACACTGTCACCTCAGCACTTCCAGTGGAGCCTTTTGCCACCTTTCAGCACCTTCATCACCTGCTCCCACAACCCTCCGCTCTCCTCTCTCCTTGTGCAAAAGCCTTGTCCTCCCTCAGTGCATCCATGCAAAACCCTTCATCTAGTATTTTCCGTTAAAAAAAAACCCTTTTGTCACTATTCCCAAAGAAATTCTTCCTTCTCCCCTCAACTGCTCCCTTCTCCTCAGATCTTTCCTCTCACGCGGCCGTTTTTGTCACCCAGCGTTTCCAGCCTAAACGTGTCCCCTCAGAGCTTCCTCGGCCCTTCCTGCAAAACCTTCTTCCTCTGGGTGTCTGCTCAGCCATTCCTAATAACCCTGCCCACTGTTTTCTTAATTCCTACTCTGCAAAGGCACCCTGGAAATCATCTGGTGGTTCTGGGATACCTGGTTAAGTGAATTATTGGAGATGTAGCCACCAGAGCTACGATAAAGCAACACCAGTCTCAGGGTGTGTTTGCTTAGCCTAAAACTGCCAAAGACCCCGTCCAAGCATCACTGCTGTAATTCCAAGCCTTTAACAGGAATGTGACCCTGTTATCTGCCACTTTTTCTACTTTCAGCCCACTCTTCCCAGCCTTTCTTTCAGAATATCCTGGTGAAATACAGCAGCAGTTTGCTGTCTTGTAACACTACAACTCCAGGTCTCCATGGAAGCAAAATACCAGCTTTCACTTGCACCTCCAAATAAAGCTGAGCAGCCTTCCCTTTTATGTACCACAAAAAATATCATAATGCAATTAAGAGAGATTCTTTGCCTGAGGCACAGACTGTTTCCTCCAGAAGATTCAAAGCTGGGGTCAGGCTGGGCTTTGAGCTGCTCACATTTAAGCAGTAGCTTTCCTCACATTTAGCACAAGGCAAGGAAAAAAAGGTTGTTAATGAGCATGAGAGTCTCCATTTTAACTCCTGCAGAAATGGATATGGTCTGATATTTGTACTGGAAATTACAGGGTAAATGCAGGATAATGTAACACCTAAGAACGTACCACACCTATGGTATGTGGGAGGAAAAAACCCACAGTTATCAGGGGTCAGCAGATGTTTTGCTTGATGTCACATAAAATGAAGCAGGGAATACCCTGATTTTTGTTTCCATACACCAAGGTGTGTTCAGTTAAAACTTAACCCGCTGAAAATGAATGAGAAACTGAGATATTGTTCTCCACATCCCATTTATAATGCATGGAAAGGAAAAAAAAATTAAAAATAAGCCTTTAGAAAATTAGATATTTTCTTCTATCAGGATTTATATTCTTGTTCTACATATTTTGGTCTTGTCTACCCTCTGCCCAGCATGCTGTTGCATTCCTTAATGTTGTCATAATTTTACAGTAGGCCACAGAATACCATTATGACCAATGTTTGGGGCAGATTTTCCCACTTTCAGTCAAGCAAGATCTCTAACCATTAAATATTTATGAAGTCTTCATTTCTTTTCATTATTCTCTTAATTTATTAAGTTCAATGCCAAGGTGGTACAAGGCTCATTGTTCCTACAGTTTGATTTTCACATCTGGCAATTCGTGACAAGATGAAGAACAAAACAGTAACACTGGTTGACAGAAGCTGACAGAGATGTACAAAATCAGTGGCACTCTCATGGGCCTGTGCAGAACTGGCTACAGGAAAGGCTGACCTGAAACCTTTAAAAGACCTTTGACCAAAATTTGTCTCAATGCTCTTAAAAACTGATTGGCCTTTTCTTGGCCAGGCTGCTAAAATCAAGTATACAGGCAAGGTAAATAACAGAGAACACTTAAACTGAGTCAGCTGCATGTGAGAAAGAAAACAAAGCAAGAATAACAAACAAATAAAAAGTGTTTCTGCCTGATGAAATACAGACCTTCAGTTTCTCAGCCACTCCCAAGTTATTGAAGGGATTATGATCAGTACAAATACTGTGTATTATTAAGGATTCCATACACTGTCTATACTTACCCTCTACTACCAAGTTGATACTTCACAAACTTTCACATAGAAAAGGAAACAGGTGCTAAACATTTACACAAACAGATCACATATGAACCTGACGTGTTTTAACAGCAACACCCCTTTACAGAAAAGTCGTTCCCCTACTTTTTTTTGCTTTAGGTGCTCAGTTTCTAAGTGATATAAATTAATTCTGTGTTACAGCAGTCAACTACGTACAAACAACACAAACTAAAAACTAGCTCACTAAATAAATACCTGACGGTAACTATTTTGTGTAGCTATAGTAAAGTTCAAGTAATGATCAGCCCAAGTTTGTTTCTTCTTAAGAAAACAAACAACCAAACAGACAAGACCAACAACCACCAGTTTCGGAGACAAGAACACGAGGGAGATACACTTGTCTATGAGGACTACAGGAAAAGGTATACCAATAAAATGGGACAAATTCTTAGCACTAAGGCACAATAGAAGTAATACTAGAGTATGGCTAAAACCTTACTTACTACAGCATCGAGTGAGTAGTTAATGAGGAGTGTTCCTACGCTCAAAACGCTTGGCTACATTAGTGAGTTCTGTGTTCAAGAAGCGTCTACCTTAGTGTAGCTGCACACAGCATTGCTAAGAGAAGGGATTTCAGAGGGAGGGACGGTGCTCACTTACACTGTACTTATTTTATAATTAAGGATTGCTTCATACTTGCTCGACAAAATGGAGTTTTCATACTCAATTTGTCCCTTTGCCATCGCTCTTTGTGGAACTACCAAGATGACAGTTCTAATGGGAGAAGAGCGGGTGTCAGATGTTGATGCTCGCTCGAGCTGACCAGAAACCCCCATTGCTTTGGGCAGGCCCCCAAAATTTGTGACCAGAGTAAGGTGGGATACAAAACCCACTTAAGCCATGAGATTTAAGTGGGCCTTGGACCAAACACACGCTTAGTTACGGGGTTTCTGGTTCCAGCCGTCTGTTCTCCTGAACTTCAAACAACTTTTGCCCACAGGAAAAAAATCTAGCACAGGTCTAAGAGCAGGAGGGTTTAGGTATAGGTTTAAAATAAGGGGTTTCTGGAGAGTCTTCTCAAACAGGCCCTTGTAAGATCTGCCGCTTGCCCTTAAAAACAGACAATTTCTGGCACTTGTGGACCTCTGCCATTGTTTTTTAATCCGCTGAGATCCCATGAGCTCAGTAACCACGCACAGCTCTGGCTGAAAAGCCAGCCCAGGAGGAAGAAGAGCTCCAAGCACCGAGGGAAACCCAAATCCTCGAAGTTTAGGAGTGGCAAACCCACAGCTGCGAGAACAGTCTGGAAAAACCTCTTCCCTCTCCGGAACGCGCTGGAAGGACGGCGGCGGGCGTGGTGAACCCCTAATCCTGGAAGTTTGGGAACGGCTGCGAGAAGAGCCTGGAAAACCTCTTCCCTTGCCGGAACGCGGGAGAACCAGGAGCCTCGGGGGGGGCGAAGTCGCAGCATCCCCCGTTACGCGCGGCGCGGAGCCGCGGCGGCGGCGCGGGCCAGCGCGGGGCTCATGAGGTTCTCGGTGATGTAGGCCACGAGCAGGCAGATGAAGACGAGCATCACGCAGATAGATCCCCCCACGGCCGTCATGGCCACGACGATGTCCCGCATGGCCGCGGGCTCCACGCGGAACTCCACGCACTGCGCGGGCGGCGCGGGGCGCGGCGGGGCGTAGCGGGGGCGCAGGCACAGGCGGTACCGCACGCTGCCGTGCGCCTCGGGCAGCAGGTAGTCGCGGCATGCGGCGCCCAGCTCCACGCTGTCGCAGGGGAAGCGCGTGTAGGTGCCGTCCCAGGAGCAGTTGAGCGCGAAGCCGCGCAGGGCGGCGGCGGCGGGCGGGCGAGGCGGCCCCCAGTGCCGCAGCCCCCACTGCAGCAGCACGCTGCCGTTCCGCAGCACGTTGGCCACCAGCGCGCCGCCCGCGGAGCGGTGGGCGCGGCACCCGCGGGCCGCGCACTGGAAGCCGCGGGCCGGCGGGCGGAAGCACAGCCGCCCCCCGCTCTCCGCGCCATCCGCGCCCACCTTGTAGGGGCACCACGGCTCGTCGGGCTCGGGGTCGCGCTCGGGGTCGCGGTCGCGGTCGGCCCCCCGCGCCCCCAGGCAGAGCAGGGCGAGCAGCGGCGGCAGCAGGCTGGGCATGCCGGGCATGCCGGCGGCCGCCGCATGGAGCCCCCGGGGCCGCGGAGCGGGCGCGGACGCGGCGCGTTATAAGCGCGGGGCTCCCGCAGCCGCTGCGGGGCCGCCAATGGAGAGGCGGCGCCGCCGTTAACTCTCGCTGGGCTGCGGAGCACCCGCCGCGCCGCCTCTGACCGCCCGGGCGCGGGGCTGCGGGGATGGACACCGCCCCCGGCACCGCTCCGGAGCCCCGCGGGGCCGCGGACCCCCGGCTCGGGGTGCCCCGAGGGATGAGACCTCCCCCCCCGTAAGGGCCGGCGCGGGGGATGCTCGGCCGCCGCCCTCCCTCCCCCGGGCTCTGCGGGCTCTGCGGGCTCTGATGCGTCCGCTGCCGCTGCCCGGGGCTGCGTCCCCGAGGGGCTGGGGAGCGCGGCTCCAAGCGCTGCTCAGTCCTGGCCTTTTCCGAGTTGCAGATTTCATTCCACACCAAGAAAATATGTAGGCTTTGGTTGTTAGCTTCCTCGGGGTTTTCTTGCCTTTGTTTTTTTTTTTGCGTGTGTGTGTTTTGATCAGGTTTTACATAGGATCCTCTTTCGGTTTTTATAGCAGAACATAAGCATTTGTCGATATTTAACTCTTAGAAATGCAATTATTATCACCGTTACATGGCTAAACATCCCCCAGAAACGTGCCCGCGGGTGGTCGGGAGGTGCCTCTGCCCCCCCAGGGGCTCACACCAGGAGGGATGCAGATCCACGGCAGGGCTGTGGGAAGTGGCAGAGCTCCCCTCCAGCTGATGCAAAGCTTGCTCAAAGAAACGGGGGTTACAGAGACTTTTTTTTTTATGGTTATACCTTCTAATCCAGGCTGCTTTAACCTCTTGGCACTGGAAATTTAAATAAACTCGGCACGGATGTAATACAGAGAGAAAGACACCTCAGGACGTCAGCTGAGAGCAGTGATAACGCTCTGGGTCTTGGTGCACAATGGGAGACCGAAGCAAAAAGGATACTTCTCTTCCTCCTGTCTTCTGCCAAATGCCATTTCCTCTCTCTGCAGCAGGATCAAACCCAATCCATCCCTTGGATCTGGAGCCAGCAAGCTGATTGTGCAGCACAGCAGGAGACAGCAGTGCTCCATCCCAGCATTACACCGTAATTAATGCTCTCGGAACGACCTTGAAAGATGTACAGGAGCGTATAGGCTTGTCTAAATATGGAAACCAAATCATTCTAATGAAACACTGATAAAAATACAGACCTTAAGCGGTGTTGGAAGAGCCTTTGAACAGTGAAATTGGTAAAGGTTCCTTTAAGTCCTGTCTTTTCTGAGTTGCAGGGGGGAAAAGTGGCATTTCTTTTTGTTTGTATTTTGATCATAGGGTCCTGTTCCAGATTGTATAGCAAAATGTAAGCATTTATCTATATTTAACTTGTAAAACAGAGGAATTATCATATTGCTTGGTTAAAACCATCAGAAATGTGCCTAAACACATTGCTCTAGTTCTTCGCTGTTTGGAAACATGAGATCTGCAGATTAACTGTGTAAGTTTTCTCTTGAAGTGTTTATTAGTTTACATAAGTCGAAAATATAACAAAAACAATGTTCCAAAGCCTATTTTCATTTCCCAGCCTAAACAAAAAAACAGACCCCAATCACACACCTTGCACTTCATGAAAGGTGTTACTTTGCACACGAAGTGTTATTTGTAGCAATGTGGAACTTGTTTAAATAGTTTCATTTTCTGATGCACTGAACATCAATGTAACTCAAGGATCTGGACGTCAGGACCCCCTTTCCTGTCAGAAAGACTGGCCTTTTAAAATATATGGTCCTTAATGAAATCTTTAATTTAACAATACCAAGTATTATAAGTTATTTCCACCTCTAGTTTTTATCCAAATTTAATGGGGTTGTCTGCTAGCCTTTAAAAAGTTGTTAGAAATCCCTTTTAATACCAAGAGGTATCAATCAAAAATTAGGATCAGAACAGAAAAGGATGCTGAAGTTGTAGTTATGGCTGCTCTCCTTGGAAAACACTGTTATCAGAGCAATGAGAGGTGCTGTGCTGGTGAAGGCACTTCTTGGTGGCTGAGGCAAACTTACCTGTGGAATCCCAGCTGGATGCAAACCTGAAGATCTGAAATCCCTTCCAGAGAAATGTGAGGGTGTTCAGGAAACGGCTGGAGCCAAACCAAGCAAGTTTTGCCTCCTTCAACTTTGTGTACTTCTCCCAGCTACTATGGAGAGCAGATCACCCTCCAGAGCTGTTATCATTTCCATGACCAGGGAAGAGATCTGGCACCAGCCTCTGAGGGGGCTTATGAGGGTGCTTTGCAATTCACTTTGAGTTGTGGTGAGAGATCCAACAGTCTGGCATGTGGTACAGGGAAAGAAAATAGCTGGCACAGCAATGGAAACCCTGACCCCATCAAAAAATTTGTACCAACACTACAGGTTAACTGCCCCTTCTACCCCATGTCCTTTGGCCCTGCACTGTGTCTCTGAGCATAAAACAATTATCTATGCAGGAACCAAGCAAACCCACATGCTTTGGCTTGGTCAGTCTGCCTGTGCTGGCTTCATATGAACCTTTTGTCTCATTGTTTGTTCTCTTAGTAATCCAGCTGTTTCCCAAGCCCTTCTTCCGTGCAATAAAACTCAGCCTGGACTTCTCATGTCATCACTTCAAGAGTTCACTGCTCAGGCAAAACACCAGGATTTGCTGTAAGCAGTGAAGCCCCGGCAGCACTTCAAAACCAGCAGCATCCCAGCTTGCTTTGTAGGCCTTCAGACAGACCCAGCACCGTGGGTTTTCAGCTTTTCTGGTTCTCCTTCACTGGGTTTATTGTCTCCTGTTAGAGGAAACAGTGAACTAGTATGAAAATGGGGGCAACTTGCTGTAGGCCAGGCAAGGAAGCACTAACCAGCCACAGCTCACAATTTATGCAACACTCTTGCTAATTTTAGTCTTGGATATGGCCAGGGCAGACAGTCCCCAGAGCAGAGATGCTCAGCTCTCAGCTAAGGGGAGCATATGACATATGGTTGCTAAAGCATCCTCCTAGCAGGGAGCTTTACATTTAGGCCTGAGCTGCTGCAGTTCCCTCCAAGTCATAACTTCGAGGATTACTCATCCTAGACATGCAAACGCAGAGAATCTGCCTCCTAATCCAGAGAGCTCCTGCAGTCTGAATCAGCGTGCAGCCTCTCCCCCACTGGGCTTCTATTTCCAGTGCTTGATTCACTTCCAGCAGGGGCTGAACTTACGTGCTCTGACAGTCACAGGCCACGGGAAGCACGGGAGAGGAGCGAATGAGCTGCAGCAGGCACAGAGCTGCACTAAATACCTCGCTGGGGCAGCCTGGGTACCAAGGTTTGGCACCCAGGCCACGGTCTGTGTGGTCATGGATCCTGCACTGAGCTGTGAAACAATGACATCTCGGTGGCCCAGTAAGAACTGGAGGTATTTCTGGTCAGGATGCTCTGAACCAGTAGCTGCAAGTCCAGCTAATCTGTTCTGAATGTGCTATTTATAGCAGGCACTGGGGGCCCAGCAGAGTTGCATCATACAGCAGGGCTGGCATAGAAAGAACTAAGGCAGCATTAACCATTTCAAGGCATTTTGGATGTCTTAAACCCCCCTGTAGCTTTGCAGTGAGCTCCTTAGTGGGCTACATGAGTGGCACTTGGCTAATAGATCATTTCCTAGACTCCCTGGAACTGCCACTGATTGCTCTTCTGCCTCTGGCACCTTTGCTTATTCTGACTACTCCACTCTACCCCAGAGCTGGACTTGCACAGCTGATCATGCTGCTAGGAAACACGAGCAGAATAAAAATTGAAGAACCAAAAGGACCTATGAAGTGTAAATTTCAAGCTCCATTACAACCAGTGGAAGAAAAAAAAATCAATACTGTCAGAATGAAAAAGATTGAGCTTATTGGGAAATAAATATTGTTTTCCCAAGTGTCTAAAAGTGCTTACCAAATATGCCTCAAACAAGGGATTAAAAAAAGCTTAACTAATCCAAATAGAGAACAAAGATCTCTCCTCTGATCTTTTACCAGGTGACCACATTCAAACCATTCACTTGGTGAGTGATGTTCCAGGGTCCAGGACTTCTGAGTGGGGATGAGGAAGCAGGAGACAGCTCAGACACATGGTTCTTACACAAGGCAGGGAATGTGACAGCTCTGCCCTGGTAGGATGACTAAAACAGGTCCTGGGCTTTGAGTTATCATGATTAAGCCCACCCTCCTTTCAGCTGCCTCCTTAAATCCTGGGGACTCCAGCTGACTCATTCCTTCTTTCTACCTGAGGTCAGGGAAGATGTCTTTTGGAGATCAAGTAAAGCACCACAGGTTTCAATCTACTGCATCAACAGAACACTACAAATACCCGACTTGCTGATTAAAACCTGTCTAGAAGACGCAAAATTGATCTTAGCTCCCTGTTGGGAGACTGGAAATGAGCTGAACAGGATGGAATTGCATTAGTTGGGGTGCAAACATTCCTTCTTTCCCATTTCTTTGCGTGGCAGTCCCTGGCACCATCACAGAAGAACCTGTCTTGGTGCAGGCCAGCCCACATCTCCAGGAACCCAGGGAGCAGCAGCTCTGCCAGGCCAAGATGCTCAGCATCAGATGGGGAGGCTCCAAGCCCAGCAGGACAGTCATGGCTCAAAGCCAAGGAAAGGAGAACTCCACAGGGTTCTCCTCTGAGTCACTGGGAGGTCTCTGCCCCAGGAAGAGGATCCAGTCGTTCACACACACACACATCCTGCTGGCACACAGTCCCCTCTGTGGGAGCTCAGGGTTGGTTATCATCCCTGCACTGCTCCACACAAAGAGCAGGATAATTTCCTCTGACTCCCTTCCCACCTTACTCTGAGGGGAGCAAAAAGGCTGTGTTAAAGAAACACCACTGAGCAAAATGTTTTATGAAGAGAGATTCCTTTGTATTAGCAATCAGTCGAGTAAGTCCAGGTTCAGGCACCCCTCTGCTGCCCAGGGGGGTAAAATACCCCCAAAAACCAACAAAAAAACCCCTCTCCAGCTGTGGAGGAGATATGGAAAACAAGAAGGTGAAGAACACAGTAAATCAAAAAGTGCTTCTAAGAAAAGCAGCAGGATAAAAATCATTCCTACAGTCTGGGAGCACTTCCATGCCATCGACCCGAGAGCCAATGGCCCCCACACAGAGATGTAATGCACGTCTGCAAGGCCCCTGCTCAGGGCCTGCAAGAGTTACCTCCTCCTGCCTTTGTTCTGGGCAGTGTTTAATACAGGAGCCAGTTCCCAGGAGGAGTTCCCGTCCCCTCATTCCAAGAGTATCCCGTTTTCCTTCAGCATCTCTCAGTAGTAGTCGTCCTTCTTGCCACCAGCTCCCTGCAGGCCCGCACGGTCCTTCCGCTCTTGGACAAGCTCCAGGTCATCGTTGTCATCCACCTCACCTCCATGATCCTCCTGGGTGCAGAGGGAACAGCCAGGAGGGAAAAATCAGCAAGGCCTGGAAAAGGAGACCCCAACTGGCAGCACGCTGTGCTGCTTCCCAGTACAGCTGTGCCACCACACCAGCCCAGCTCAGAAACTTGGGAAAACAGGGAAGAATCCACCTCTCCCAAGTGTGATTGGCAAGCCACTTAGCCAAGACAGAGGTGTTGCCATGATCAGCCTGTTTGTTTTAAACACATTTAATGTCCTGGCATTCCCATGCAACTTTAACATCTCAGCCTGCTGCCACTGTAGAAGATACTCTACACCCACCACATGGAAAACTGTGTCCCAAATCCCACCCGTGATAAGCAGCAGCCTCCAGGGATGCTTTTAGGTCCAACTATCCAGTGTAGAGCCTACAAGAGGGTTGGATACACACGGGAAAAGGAAACCTCCTGACACCAACTCTGCTCTGCCCACTCCTCATTTCCCCACTCTCTTCATTCCCAGCAGGCAGCCCAAGCCCTCAATTCCTCAGCAATCACGTTGAAACTGCAGGAAAAAATCCCACAACAGCCATTCACAAAGGGCAAGGAGAGGATGAACAAGACTGGAAGGGGATCCCTCATTTCTCTCTATGTGAGCCAGAAGCTTCTGGATGATCCTCTCCAGCTCATGCTTGGAGAAGCACAGGGATCTTGCCCAGTAGCACTGGCACAGCCTGTAATTTCCCTCAGCTCCTGTTTGGGAAGCATCCCACAGCCCAGATGTTGCAGATGGATGCAGAGGGAAATGAGGAGGGGAGACAGAACATAAAGGGTACTCTGAACCCCTGAAAAAGGGAGCAGAGGTAGGTGGGCCCCAGGGTTGTTCTGGAGACCCACCTGACTGGGCAGGCAGAGGCAAACCTGAAGCCAGTGCTCACATCTGGCTCCCTAAAAGCTGAGTCCTCCCCAGCTCCTGGCTCCCAACACTCCCAGGTAACAACCACACCAGAGAGGGAAAGGGGGAGAACCTTGGTGTCGTACAATTTCTTGCTCCTGATCTTCTTGATAGTCATCCATTGGGTCTTCCCTGGGCTTGGCAGGTCTGCCAGCATCCTGAAAAATACAGTCAGACACTGCTGACAGTGCCCCAGCCTGCTCCCATTCCCTGCCAGGGACACAGCTCTCTGGCATTGGAGCCCCAGGTCTGGAAGACTGGGCTGCACCAGGAATCAGGGGGAGCAAGGAGACAGTCAGGCAACACAAACTCCATGTGCTTTCTCCATCCAGCCTCTCTTCCCAGCTCCTTCCACTGTGGAGAGAGGTTTCTCCTGCAGCAGGAGGGTCCCAGGGCCGTTGCCTCAAGTCCCAGGACTGCAAGGAATCTGTGAGTTATTTAGGAAACACAGCACAGCCCCATCTGAGAGCCAGGTATTGATGTCACTAATTCTTTCCACATTTTCACCAATCTCAAGGAGGTGTTATTCTCTTGGTGCCAGCATCTCTCTCTTGTTTGATTTCATTGGCCTGGATGTCTTTTTTTTTCCCCCTTAATCTCACTATTAATCATGATTTTAAAGCCTGACAGATAAAAACACTCCTTTTTAAAACAAGCAACACTCAGCTGCTTGTCAAAACAAGCCGAGTCTGGCTTCAGGCAGCGAGAAACACTTTAAGAAGTAAATGGATTCCATCTGCAAGGAGGCAAACAAGGAGGCAGAGCTCTCTTGTGTTGTCACTGCTGCCAGGAGCCTGAAACAGGCAGGGCTGCATCGACCAGAAGAGCAGAGACTCATATTATTGTCTCTGGCTTTGGTCTTGAGTGCATGAAAAGCCACAGCCCCTGTGCAGGAGCAGCTGTGAGTGAGACATCCCCTATTCCACATCTCTTCAGCCATGTGGGTGTTGCAAATGCCAGAGGTGACCTCAACAAGCAGAGAGGACAGAGCCAGAACAAGCTCTGGGACTGACCAACCTGCCAGTTCTCACTCAGAAAGGTTTCTCCTGCCTGCCACGTCCTGGCAGCAGGATTATGGATCCATCCAGGAACACAACGTTTTCCTTCGAGTCCTTAAGCTCTCTGCCTCCCCCCATCCATAGCTGGGGGTCCCCCCCGGCCCTGCTGGTTGCCCTCATGTCAGTCACCTTCAGTGGCTTCTCCTTTGACTCTTCTTTCACGCTGGGCTCCTTGAACTTCTCCAAACCTCCCGCCTTCTCTTCAAAGTCGGGTCTCTCCAGCTCAGCTTCCTCAAACTCATCCTCGCCTTGGTTATTGGGATCCTGGGCAGGATCTGCAGCATCATCTGGCATCTGGACAAGAAAAGCCTCCTGTGAGTGCCTGGCAGGATGTCCCCTCAGGAGGCAGAAGGTTTGATGCCTTCCCAGCAAGCAGAGTGCTGGCTTGCAGCACTTAGTCATGCCTCCCCAAGCCTGGCAGTGTTTGTAAAAACAAAACCCCCCAGTCTTTGTTATCCCTCTGAATCCTTCCAGATTCAAGGTGCTTGGAGTTCCACTTTATAGAAACTTCTGGGTAATTATTGACTTGCTGGACTCTAATTCCAATCTGGAGGTTCATCCAGATGACAAGTGGCACCACTACTTTCCAAGGCTGAGTGGGATGGGGCCCTGAGCAACCTGGTCTAGCTGAAGGTGTCCCTGCCCATGGCAGAGGGTTGGAATGAGATGATCTTTAAGGTCCCTTCCAACCCAAACCACCCTGTGGTTTTATCATTCTACCATTCCTTACCATTGGCTCCTGGACAACAGTCTCTTTCTGAGGGTGCAAGTTCTCCTCCCTCTCAATCACTCCTGCATCTGCAAGGAACAGGCACAGTCAGTGGTGTCTCAAACTCAGTGTCACCAGTGTCTTAACTTTGTGCCAAGCGGGGATTTGAGGCAGCCAACGCTCTGTGTTTGCAGAGAAATGCTCCTCCATGAAGGAAACCATACCCATTTCCAGCTCTTCCTCATCCGTCCTCTCCTTCTCTCCTCCCTGCTCAGCTCTGGGATGCTCTTCCCCTCTCCTCTGGCTGGGGGCCTGGGAGCTGCCCCTCTGCACCTCCTGCCCAGGCTGGGGCTCAAACTGGAGGTTCTTTGGGTAACCATGTGCTTGTTCTTCGTCCATCTGGGCATTCACCTTGTTCACTATGTCTTTCCAGCTGCAACGAGGGTATGGAACAAAACATGAACCCCCTGCCTCAGTGCATCAGGAGATATTTCATAAAGCTATTTCATAATGGCAAGCAGAGGGAAAAAAAATACTCCAACACATGCAGAATTTTGTCCTAATTTAACCTTTTGACAAAACTAGCAGATTGTTTTAATTGCTGTGATATCTGCTTGAAAATAGAACATTTAATATGCCACATAGTACAAAAGCAGTTATGCTTTATAAACACAATTTATTGTGAGCTCCCTTAATATTATTCAAATGATACAATAACATCTACATGGCAATAAACTCCAGTTCTAAACAGATTCTTAGTCATGCCTCACACATACCCAAATAAACAAATCTAAGGGTTTAGAAAATATCAAAACCATAAGTGGTCTTTATTGTTCCAACTTAATTGAAAATGAAGATGCTGCTGAAGTAAAACCGTAGAATTTTGGCTACAAGGAGAAAAAAAACCCCTTTCAAAATAAAGAGGAAAACTGCAATACAAAGCTTTGCAACTGGGATGGATATTTTAACCAGCACCTGTTCATAAAACTCCTCCATAGGATGCATCTGCCCCTGTGCAAACCCAAACAGTGAAAATGTTCTGTTCCCACTGCATGGAAAGTAGTTTGAGGTCAAAGCAAAAAAATGGAATATCTTCATATTAATTTGAGTGAACCCCTGGGAAAGCCCAGAAGGCAGGGCTGTCTCACAAGGAATGATTTCTTACCAAATATCCAAATATCCTTCCTCAGGGACAGCTTCAGAAGCAAAGAAGGGTAGAGGAAGGGATGAAGTCCCACTAATAGGGACTCTGAAATATGACTGAACAAAACCTTTTAACCTGGGTGAGTTGCAGCAGTTCCAAGCAGAACGACTGCTTGGTTTAGCCTGTCCTCTGCATGAGATTTGAAAGTCTGCTTAAGAATATTTCTGTGTTTAAAAGCTGAGAAAGGACAAGTAGTCTCGGCTTTAGCAGCTTTTTAAGCCAGCGCACAAAACCTTCAGTAAGTAAAATCCTAACCCAGCCCTCAGCTCAGATTCCCCCCCTTATAAAACCATCAAAATGCAAACTGCCCCTCAAGGGCTCACGTGGAACCTCAGCCACCCAAGGCAGCAGCTCCTGGCCTTGGATCCATGGGCTCTTTGTGCTGCCCCGAGGTCCCTTATTGCTCTTGGCATGGACAGGGTTGGGTTATGTGCTCCTTATCACAAATCTCCCACAGTGCAAACAACAGCCTCCAGCTGCTCCCTAATTCCTTGATGACAGATCCAGGAAAAGCAAAGAGCACCAAACATGCCAGGACCTCTGTCCTCGCCAAAAAAGCGTTTGCCAAACACGTCAGTGTTTGCATTTTCAGTCTCACAGAGTGATGGTGACCTGGCTGGGCCCTGCATGGCTGAAAAAAAGGCCATTGTGCCACCACCACCTCACCCTCAGTGACACCCACACCAGTCCCTCCCTGAACGAGCAGAACATCCCCTGGGCACAACTCCTGTGTCTGTCACAGCAGCCTGGGGAGGACATTGCCATTTGAAGGAGGAAGAAAAGCACAATCCCTGCCCTGGGAAGGTCACAGGTTAAGTGAACAAACAAAAAATAGAAGAGCAGAAAGGGTCAGGCTGAATCTAGAATGAAATCCAGAAGCTTCCTCTACAGATAAAACAGACATGAAATCCTGTTTGCTCCAGTAAACTGAACAGATAGGACCTGGACACAGACAGGAGATAAATAAGTTAAAGGAGGAAGCACTATTTTCAGAGTCCCTTTTTGGATTATGGCCAGACTTTGATGAATTGCAGCTGCAGAGAGACATTTTTTTCCTTTTGCCAAACAAACCAGTCTCCTGCAAGTGCTGCTGAGACAGTGAACAGTCTCCCCAGTGCCTTACAGCATCCAGTACAACAGGATCCTGACCAGACAACACCAGGAACACACCAAGGAAAGGTTGTTCCTTCAACCACCTTCCAGGTAGACCCACAATAAACACGAGTAGAGAGAGACCAGGGGTGGCCCTGTTTGGAACCTTCAGCCTAAACTTTGAGAGCAGAAGGGAGCTGTGTGTCACCAACCTTTGCATTTGCCCCTGTCTGTTCCCTGTGGAGAGGTGGTTTTCTGGAACTGGAGGTTTTCCTGCTGCAGAGGGTTGTCTGGGACCAGGCAGGGCCAGCCCAGGAGCCTGGCTTTCCTCGTGGCTCCTCACCTGGATGCGCATCACCATCTTCACGTCCTGGAGAGGAGACAACTTGGGATGTGCACAAGAGCCTGATCTTACCACACACCCCCAGATCTTGCATTTGGGCAGGTTTATGGGCCAGAAAAACCCTTATCAGAGAACAAAGATTCAGAAGTGCTCCAGAACAAACCTACAGTCCTGTCCAGCCTGCAGTAGAACAGACCCTACTCCTTCCAAGACAAAAGGAAATAATTTAGGTCCTGTTTGAGCCGGGCATGTCTCAGGTAGGTGAATCTCCAAGGAAAAAGGAACAAAACCACGTCTAAACCCCCCACCCCACATCCTTATAATAGTTACTGTAATTATAGTTTGGCCACACTGCAATTTATTGTCTTTTTTTAGATATTTACTGTCCAGAACTCACTCTCAATCAGCCCAGGAGGCGAGGGGACCTGATTTTATGATTTACTCTTTGCAGCTCTGGCAGAAGAACCTCATCCCACTCCCCGAGCCTGGTGGTGAAACCACAAGCACACAGGAGTCCGAAAGCATCCCAGGGCTGTGGGATTCACACACACACAGAGCACTAGAGCTCTCTGAGTCCTGAGCTTCCCAAGCCAAGCCCCAGGAACGTACGGGGTTCCCATTCGGGAGGCTGTTCATGGTCCGGGTGAACCTCACCACGTGCCCATCCCCACGGCGCGCTGGCCAGGCTGGCACAGCCTCTGGCAGGGAGTTGGCATCCTGGGATGGGGTGGGGTGGGTTAAGGGCATGTTTGGCTGTGGCCTCGGGCCGTCCTTGCTGTAGGAGTTCTGTCCCTGCAGCCCCGGGACTTCCGCCGGCCTCTGGAACCCGGAGACCGGCGATGCCAGAGGGATCCCGTTCTCTGGATTGACTGGGTAACCCTGCAAGGAAGAAAGGACAACAGCAAACTCTGAGCTGGAGGGAGCTGGGCTTGTTCCCCACGCTGGAAACCCACAGGAGCCCTGCAGAACGCTCCCACCAGGGTTTTCCTGGGAATACCACACCTTCTGCCTCCCCAGCTGCAGCTGGCTGTGGGCTGGCACCACGGGCTGCTGCCCCTTCCCAGCTCCTCCTCCTCCTCCTCTGAAGCCTGGCATCTTCTGTAGAGCTTCCTTGAGCTGCCTGAACTCTTCCATCTGGGCCTGAGGGGGTGAGAAGGACACGGAGAAACCTCCCACAGTAACAGGGTTAAGCACCTCCTTGCTGGGAACAGCCACCCTTTGTGACCATTTGTCTGGCACAGATGGACTCTAAAGAGATGTGTTTTATACATAGGAAAGGCTGGAGAAAACACACAACCATAAATGACAAGCTTGTTTTCAGCTTTCCCTCCAGATTTCATGGAAATTCTGTATTTCCCCTTTGCCAGTCCTGCATCTTATTGGACACTTTTACCCTGGAAAGTGCTGAGCTGTGACATTGGTCCTTTTCCTGATGCTGTTCAGTGCATGAGCCACTGCTGTAACTCCTGCCTTGGCACAAGAATTGTACCCTGGGTCTTAGCTGTGCCTCCCTCTCCTCCTGTGCCTCACACTCACATACCTCCAGGTCAACTTATTTCCTTCCAGTTGCATCATTTCTCCCTGGATATGCTCATCTCAGCAGGGCTGGCAATAATTGGCATAATCCAACTTGACAATCCAATTTACTTTGCAAGACAAATGAAAAATCAATTCTCCTGGACTGGTAAGCAAATGCAACACTTTTTCTCTCTCTCTTGCAGCTTATTTCTTTTCAGCTCCAATCTCCAAAAGTAGGGCTTGAAAAAGCCACTCAGGAAAAGCTCCCCACTTCCACCCTGGTTATTTATAGAAAAGTGAGGGGGGAGAGCTTTTCATGTGCTTGCCAGGGTACCTGGAAATGGACCAAATTAGGGACAGGGCTGAGTAGGAAAGCTTCCAAGCAGCAAGGAAAGTTTAGCAGGAAATTAATTCCTGAGCAGGCTCTGTTGATTTCAGCTCTTCCCCCTGAAATCTGACCTTAAAATTAACATTTAAAACAACAAAACAAACCCCGACAAAACGACCCAGCGCAGCTAACATAAAAGGAATGAGGAGGAGGCAGCCAAGAGCAGTTCACGGGATATGAACTTGTAGGATGCTGCTCCCAGTCGGAACAACCCGGATGGATGCAAAGCTTGTGCCCATCCAAAGCCTGTTAAGGGGGTCAGCAAACCAGGCAAGGCCCCTCTGAGCTGCTGTTTCTCTCTGCAATTCATTTAACAGGCGTAAACAAAGACAATCCACCATCATTTGGAAGTGCTTGTGATGCGTGGAGGTGACAGGAGGCATTCCAGGGTTGGGAATGTGCTGGTTCACGCTGCCTTGAACCCCAGGGGCTTGTGCAGCACTACCTGTGTTTTCAGCTGCTGGGACAGATTCCAGGCTGGAAAATTTTACTCGTATGGATCTACATTACCAACACCTATCAGCAGTGGTTTAGGCAACTCCCCGCACTGGAATACAGCTGATAAGATTTACTAATTTGAGATTTATTAATTAGAGAATATTTGATGCGCATGCAGACCCAGCCTCCCACAAACAGCCCCTGGTGGGTTACCTGGGCATTAAGGAGCTGGGAGTGAACCTCCTGGTGGGCCTTCCGAAGGAGCTTGCTCTCCTCCCTGAGTTTAAACACTGTATCTGCAGGAGGAGAAGAAATTTGATTGAAAGAGTTATTTTTGCCAGTGTAGTATCTCCCTTTCTCAGCGTAAATTAGCCTGGACCTCACAGATCTCTCCAAGCCCAGGAATTACAGCGAAGCACGAGCCAGAGACGGACAAACCTGATCCATCATTCCTTCCAGCACTCCAAGGAACACCCTTCTCCTCCAGAGCCTCTGCTAACCACTGCTCTCAGGGTCAGGATCTCCCTGTGCTTGCTTCATTTGCTTCCTCATTTCTCACCCCCCTTGCAGCTGAAGAGCAGCACTCGCTGTCCCTGCCTGCAGTGACTGGAAGGTTAAGAAAAAACCACAGGGGAGGTCTCTCAGGTCTCCTGAACCCCCAAGATGTGATAAGGGAGCTTCCCTCCTCCTTCAGAGAGAAGCTGCCTCTTGATGGCACGAACAGAATACCCAGGACCCGCTCACAGAAAGCAATCACGGCACAGCTTTGCCCTCGGGTGTGGCTATTCCTGGGATTTTAAGTAACATTGTGCCCTGCAGCCCCTCGGGGTTGAGCTTTTTCAAGCTCTTTGCACGCTCCTGAGTGCTTCAGCAACAAGACACACAGTGTACTGACGTTTCACTGCCTTGGACATAATCCTGCACCCTCCAGTGTAAAACAAAGACTGTGTCCAAAAATGTCAGCCCTGTTGCGGTTCCTGAATCTCTCTTAAATCATCACCAGAACATCATGCACTGGGATTTCTCTGCAAACACAGCTGCACCTGCCACCATGGACTGGGAAGGGATTCAGCCCTTTGTTGTGGGCTGAGTTGCACACAGGGTTTCAGCTCAATATTAGAGATATTTCTGATTACATTGGTGTATCTTTTCTTTGTAATGCTCAGCCCTGGGACAGGACATTTTGCCACTGAGGTTGGGTGCTGTGCCCCTGCCTTGCAGCGAAGGTTGACATCAAACTGAGAACAGAAGGCTCTGTCTTTCCTGCAGCCAGAAGGAAATACGGAATTTTGTCCTATGGGACTCCAGCTTCACCTGTTACCTTGTGTTTGCAGGCAGCTGGTCCAGGCCAGGTGACAGCAAGCACAGATGCTGCTGCCAAAACCTCTGACCACGACAGATAGTCCCCCAAAAGAGCCTCCAAAAGAGCCAATCTAGCAAAAATCCCTCCATTCCACTCTGGCAGCCCTGAGCAGAGGGGGCTGAGGATTTCAGGAAGAGGGACAATCAAATATTTAGGTTTCACTTGTTTGTCCTCAATTTCCCCCCTTCTAGCCCAGGAGTGCTCGTCAGATACTCTAGTGGGCTTTGTTGACCAGAGGGAAAAAAAACAAACAAAACATCATCAGATTTCACTCTTCCAGACCTAATCAAGTAAGAACAGATGCAAACCTTAAAAGCCCCACAATGTAATTAAACAGCAGACTAAATAGAAACCACTCTTTGGGAATTAAAGGGATCAGCGTTGTCTTCGACACTCGCACTACTAAAGGCATTTTATAGACCCACATCATTAATTGCAAAAAACTGTGTTTAATTTTCTCCCAGGCTCAAATGCCAGGATTTGCAGGTTGTTCCTGCACCACCACCTGGGGCAGGACAGCTCTCCAACCAAGGTCCAGAAGGGCCGAGGTGCTGCACAGTCACACAGGGACATCCCTGGGGTGTTCACAGACCCTTTTGGGGACCTCTGCCCTGTCCTGAGCTCAGCCCTTCAGCCTGGTGTTCCCCCAGCACGCTCACCCTGCAGGCTGGTGACCTCGCTGTCCTTCTCCTGCTGCAGCTGGGCGTATTTCTGGCTGTGGCTCTCCAGTGTCTTGCGGTGCTCCAGCTTCAGGCTGTTGTGCTGCACCTGCAGGTCAAGCAGCTGCTTCTTGACATCGTCGTGCTGGTTCTGGGTACGAGAGAAGTCACAGAGTCAGCACGAGGAGAGGAGTGATTCAGCTGCTGCCAAGTGCTCCCCGAGTGCCCCTGTTTAACAAGTTGCCTGGGGAGGCAGGAGATGTTTGTTCCCAGAAATCCCAGGCACAGGCAGGTATTCCCTGTGTCCAGTGGTTCAGGGGGGATGTGAAATGCCAGTTAAACTCCAGCTTGGGAAGAGGTTTGGGAGGTCCCCTTGGAAGCCACTAAACTGGAAGCAGAATGTTATGGCAAGTCCACTCCTGCCTGGAAGAGATGGAGGCTCTGGGATACAGGAACTACTCCTGCTCCTTCCCAGCCTCCCTGCACACCCTGCTCTGAGAGCACACAGGTTGGGATATTTGCTGATATCTGACCAAATCCCTGTGGAATACTTCACAAATCCAAGGCCTCTCCAGAATCTCAACATGCTGAAGGACTTCACCTGGAAGGATAGTTCCCATGGAGCAGGGAGAGCTTGTGCAAGGACACCACATCCTCTGACAGGGACCGGAGAGACCCCACATTCCCCTCAGTGACATGGGGCTCACGGGCATCAAATTCCAGGATAACAAGACTCTCCCAAGACCACAGACTACTTCAAGCAGGCCAAGAATTCAGCAGATAGAACTGGGCTGAAAAGCTGTTCCCTTCTCCCCTCCCCTCTTGCAGGGCCCAAGAACAAAACATGCAGAAACATCCTTTTGCTCGGACCCGCTGAACCAGAATTCACCTCTCTTTTTTTTTTTTTTTTGTTCCCATGGTAACCCTGAGAGATCCCTTCCACATTCAGTTTGTCAACACCAATTATGTATGCAGATTGACTGGCTCTCAGGTGAACCCTGGCCCTGCCACACAACCTCCCCCCTTCAGGACTCCAGGCAGTCATTTCAATCAGCCTTCCTGGGGAAAAAAAATCTTTTTTTTTTAAAAAAAAACCCAAACCTCTAAATGCTATTTATTATAGCATTTATCCCCAGGAAAACAAAGTGTCTGTGGCCCAGGCATTCCCCCTGAAGCAATTATCCTCCACTAAAAAGAGATATAGCCGTGCTCCAAAAATACACGTGATGCTGTTGGTGCAGAGGGGTCCCAGAGCCAGGACAAGGAAGAGACACAAGGATGTCAGGTTAATCAGATCACAAGATCTGGAGGGGGAAATAAAGAGCACAGAAGATTCCTGCTTTGATTTTCACAGGCATTAGGTACTTGCAGTTCTCATCAGAGCCCCTGGCAGAAAGCTCTGCGGAGGAACCGCTTCCCTAAAATCATTTTGATACTAAACACATCAGAAACCACCAACAGTAGCGAGTGAGGATTGATTTGAACAAGAAACTCTTAAGAAATTCAAGGAATTTTAAGTCCTCATCAGCTCAGGTCAATTAATTCCTAACCCATATTCTGCCTGGAAGGTGATGTGCATAATGTGTGTCCCCAGCCTGCTCCCAGGCAGGAGGAAGGGAGGGAATGTTCATCCTCTGACAGCAGCAGGAAGCTGGAGAGGGAGATAAGTGCCTTGCCCAAGGTCACAAGCAGCACCTGAGGCTGCCTCCTCCTTGGAGCATCCTCCCTCTCAGCTGCTTTCTGAGGGTGGTGGGACCAGTGTGTGCAGACCTGAGGAGGAATCCAAAGATGCCTTTGTGTTATTTGCAGGCAGGAAGTGTGGAACACACTAAACTGTTTCTCAGAGAAGCAATTTAATTACCTGTGGGCAGAACATCCCTGACCCAGGCAGTTCCACCAAGGAACCCAGGAACCTCTGCTGTCTTCCCACCTGGCTGCAAAGTCACTCCCTCCTCTCCCTCACAGTTCTGCTGTTCTACTCAGTCAAGCAGAAACCTCAGGACAGAGCACATGAGTGTTGTGCAGATCATGCACAGAGGCAGCTGGGCTGAGGGAATACAGAGACCACACTGTCATGGCTTTTCTCTGGTGCTCACGCTGCAATATGGGGAAATCTTATCACTCAGAAGTCAGATCATCCTCCAAAAATCGGGAGTTCTTCAACTCAGCTGCAGGAACTTGGGGCAGCAGGTTCTCTCATCCCACCTTCCCTTTGTTGTTCAGGCAACAGGTAGTGCCCAAATGTGTCAGATCTGAGGTTTCTGGGGAATGGGCAGGTGAAGGGGGAGAAGACAAGAACAGAACCTCAAACCCAGGTATTCCCACCAGGATTCAAAAGCAGCTCTGTGGACAGCACTGTACAAAGTGGAAGCAGTAAGTGGATGTCTTAACCCACAAGCAGAGGAAGGGCACAGCTCATTGCTAGTTTTCATGTTCCAGCAGTTTCAGGAAGTTCATGTCAAAAATTCCTTTGTTTGAAGCCACCCCCTCCTTGCCTGCCTGCTCCAGTGAATGCCAGGATGCACTCTGCAGAGTGATGGGAGCAAAATGCTTTCATCTCCACTCAAGAGGGAGAAAGGAATTGTAAGACAAAGTCTGGCCCCGCAGGAATCCAGACAACACAGGCAATGATCACAACTGCTATTTTTGGACCGAGTCAAGGCCCTTGCCCCTCTGAGCTGCTGTGCCAGTTCCAGATGTAAATCAGCCAGGGAGGATTCCAGTGCAGGTCAGGGGAACAGCAGAGGCCAGGGGCACCAAAGCCAGATGTGCTGTGGCTTCATGGAACCCTTTGGTCACATTTGGGACCTGCAGCTTAGCAGTGTTAGATGCTTCTGTTCAGCATGACATGTCCACTTCCCAAGGAACGATATCCTGGCAGAAATCTTCCTCCTGAGGAAGCCAGTTCCGGTGGGAAGCATTTTTGCCTGGGCTCCAGTAACAGAAGTGTTACTCACAGGCTCATAACTAACAGAAGCTGGGCTAAATGCTGCTTTTTCAGGGTGGGAGGGTGGAAATCTCCCACTCTGCAGCCCCAAGGGCTGGTCTGTCTTTCAGCAGCTGTAAATGTAGTTTAAAAACAAAAAATAGGGTTCTTTTTTCCCCACCCCTCCAATAAAAGGAAGCAAGAGAAAGGGAGCCAGGACGGAATGCTCTCCCTGTCCCCTCGAGAGCAGCAAACCAGAGCCTTCTGCTCAGCCTGCAGTTGCTATGAAGAGGAATGTTGCTGTTGCAAAGCGTTCCCAGAGTCCACAGTGCTGGATAATACCCAAGGGACAGAACTGTACTTCCCTTTTCCCCAAGTTTGAATCCAAAAGCCAGGCAGCTGGAGGTCCAGCTCTGCTCAGGAAATACAACCCAGCGGTGCTGAGGGCTGCTGGAACCCAGCCCTCTTTCTACAGCAAAGAATTAAATTACCATTTCACTGCCAAAGCTCCAACTAAAAACCACCATCAGCAGCCCCAGTTGTGTTGCTCTAACAACAGGAAAATTTAACATCGAGATATGCTCCAGGTAGGGCACATGATAAGCTATAAAATGCTATAAGCTGCCCTGCTCTGAGCCTCTCACATGGACTGGAATATATTGTATTAGCCCAAAGGGCAAGCAGCAATGAATAGACCCATTTTCACACTGAGGGACCCAGAAAGGAGCAGAATCCTGTGTGATAAAGTGCACAAAGGCTGCCATTGAATGGAGGTGTAGGTGAAAGCTGTAATCTGATACAGAATAAATAGGAAACTCCCCCGGACCTGAATAGTCAGGAAGGAATGTAGATCAACACCGAGTGGTCTCCTCCCTCCCTGCTGGCACTGACTGCAGGAAGCCCTGGGTCCCTGCTGGGACTCTCCTTCCCAGGAGCATCCTTTAATGTGCAGCAGATGGTCAGTCCATGACCCAGCCTCCTCCCTTACCTTCAGGATCTTGTGCTGGGAGCTGAGGGCCCCATATCTGTTCATGGAGTCTTGCTGGGGAAAAGAAAAAAAAAAAAAAGATTCAACAGTGCCATTAGATTCCAAAAAAACCCAAGGCAGGGAGGAAAAACCCACCAGAGCACCTGCCCAGCCACTTCACACACACAGGTGGGGACGGGGACCAGCAGAACATTCAGGGCTGGAAAAGAACCTTTTCAAACCAGTTCTCATTAACTGCACTCTTAATTCCCATTCAGAGCAGTTTTTCCCAGCCCTCAGCTCTGTATCTAGGCCAGGCCCAGCGCTGAAGGAGCTGTGCACAGTGAACCCCCCTCCCCGAAGGCTGAGCTCTGCTGGCAGCAGCTGAGGGGGAGGCAGAGAGCAGCAGAGCTGAGCCTGTCGCCTACACACCAAAATTGCACCATTTAACAAAAAATGGATCACTAGGCAATTGAGGGAGCCTAAAGCAAGCTCTGTAACTAGGGTACAGCAGCCAGGCTAAGCTCAGCTGGCACAAACCAGCAGTGGAGATGGATTTATGAGTGCCCACAGAGGGGTCTGGACCAGTTCAGCAGCTCTGCTCGTGCCTTTCTGAGGGTCAGGTTCTTCCCCTGTGTCCCCAAGGTTCCACTCTTCACCACAGCACCAACATCTCCTCACAGCAGGGGTGAAAGTCACCAGCCCCTGTGCCCAAAGGCTTTGTCCCCAGGGCAGCAGTGGCACCTGAGGGGGCTGCAGCTTGTCCCAGGACATGCAGGGTTACAAACATCTGGTGGGACCCACGTTTGGGGACCTTAAAGCAACGTGGCTGATCCACGAAGCAGCACCATGGAAGTGCAAACTAACCCCCAATTCGATTTATATGATAAATACTCAATATGAGATGAAATATCACCAGCAAATGAGCACAGATTAAAAAAATTCAGATATTCATGGCTGAGTTTTTCTGTAACAGGCTGACGTTGACCCACAGATGAAGGGGCTAAAAGCGATTCCCCTTCTCCAGCACCTCATCAGCAGATGCTCTGGGAAAGGAATAAACCCAGCCTTATAAACTAAATGAATGTGACAGACTGTATCCCAGGGATGCATTTCTTCCCAACCCTCCCTGAAGAGTCCTTTTCCCTGCTGAATGAGAAGTCCACAGGCAAGTGAAAATCATTTGACAATCCCTGGAGACAGAAAACAATGGATATGCTTTTCCCCACACCACATGCTCTTTCTTCTCCATGTTCCCCATGGTGTGCCTTGAATTCAGTTTCTCCAGGGCTCTTCTGTGGCCGTGGAGCAGCAATTCTCCCTTCAGGCTGCAGCACAGGGCTCCCTGCCCCACCAGGAGCTGGGAATCATCTCCTGGGCTGTCACACACGGGAGAAGGGGCAGAGCAGCTCCAGCACTGCACAGATGAAGTAAATCCTCACCCACCAGCAGCCTTGCCCAGTGGAATCAGCCAAAGTTCACCCTGCACCCTGCACACACACACACCTTGGTGCCTCCCAGACAGCAGCCCTGGCCCCCCCAGCCCCAAAATATTTACCAACATCACACAGACACCCCGAGGAACAAACCTCACCTACCTTCTCCTTGTTGAGAGCTTCCTGAGCTTCTAACTTGTACACTAAAAAATCTGGAAGTAGAAGAAGAGAAGGCGATTTAACGAGCTGGAATTTAACGAGGGTCTGGTTTATATTTGGGGGCAGGGGGGGAGGGAAGGGGGAAAATCAGCCCCTTGCTGAGCAAAAGGCTGCAAGTCAATAAGCTGGAATGCAGATGCTGCCAGGAGACCACTCAATGCCCTTGGAAAGTTGGGTTTATTTTCCATGAGAGCTGTTCACCCGCTAGACTGGCCCAAATGTCTTTGCTTTCCCACTCTACACTCAAGTGCCTCAGTGATTTCCTACTTCAGCACACAAACGGCTACAGTTTGATGTCTCTGAGGCTGCAGAAGGATTTGGGGTGCTTTGAAGTGAAAAGACTTTGGAAAAGAGAAACCAAAGCTGAGACTGAAAGGGATGAATCTGCTGATCTCATCTGCACCAGTTTCTTAAAATGGGAAGGTCCCATGACTAGATAACACATATTAGGATATATTTGCTTGGTCAGTCTCCACCAAATAAATCAGAGGTGGCAGAAATGCAGCTTCTCCCTCAGTGATGCAGCCAAGCCTGGATGCTGCGTGGCAGCACTTCCAGAAACCCAGAGCATGTCAGAGTGAGGAGCACTGGTGTTACTCCACACATCAGTTTTGAAGATAAAAGCCAAGTTATTAAGTTGCCAGCAACAATCAGGTGCAGAGGGGCCTGACATCCAAGCACAGCACCCCACTGAAGGGCTAAACTGTTGGCTTTCTGTTTCCTGTTGGATTTCGTGGTCTTAAAATATCCTGCACATTTATATCTACTTATGTACATCAGCTCTAAAGGATCTGACAGTCTGCATTGTCCATGTGTCGTGGAGGGCAGTGATGCTGATATCACTGAGCACTTGTAGAGCTCAGCATCTTCAAATGTAGAGCTCAGCATCTTCAAATCACTTTTAGAGGAAAGTTGACATATTTCCAAGAAAAAAGAGTGGTCCAGTGCCAGGTTTAGCCACCACTTAAAGTGCTCAAACATCACATTCTGGGCACTGTTACTCACAGATTGCACTGAGGACGTGAGTAGGAGTGTGAGAGAACAGAACCTCCCTCCCAGCACCTTCTGCCCACGGATAATAAACACGTGAGTTCATTGAGTTCACTGTTCCCCAGGTACAAACTGGGGCTGAGCTCGCCTGGGGGCACTCAGGGACAGCCACAGGGACAGGGAATGCTTTGGGCACAGCACACACCTCTCCCCCAGGACAGCTGGGGGCTTGTCTGAAGGGACTCACCTTCCTTTGTCTTCTTGTGCTCCCCTCGCTCCTTCTGCAGGGACCGTTCCAGCCTTGACCTGTGCTCGTACACCACTGGGGAGCAGAGAGAGGCACAGCATGACAGAAACCTCACAGTCCTTCACACAGGCTTTTTTCCCCCCACATATTTCCTCCCCTGTCTGGAGCAGGGAGGGCACAGCTGGGCTGGAGACCGTGGATATTCAGGATACAACACATACAACACACCGGCCTCGCCCTGTGAGTATTTGCCCTCAGGTTTTGCTTTGGAGCCCAAGTTATGATGCCCAAGAGCTGCTTTAGTGGCCAAGGGCTAAACTGTGTCTTTGTGGACCAAGTTCCCAGCCAGGGCTAAGGCAGCCAGAGCCTTCCAGGTCACCAGCTGCATGCAGGAGAGATATTTTCTCCCCTTCCATTGACTGGCCCTCTGGCTCCTGAGGAGGTGTGACCCAGGCAGCTCCCTGTCCCATCCCACCCAAAACAGCCCCTGCACCGTGCACAGGAGCAGAGGAGGGACAGGGATGAGGCTGCTTCGTGCAGCAGCCACGTGACAAATCAAAGCGCCGCGGAAGCTTCCTGATGGATGGTGATTTTAATGCACTCTGACGGCTGAATGCAAACCAAGAGCTCTCCCTGAGCCGCAGCACTCAGCTGGAACAGGCTCCTCATCCCCCTGGCACAGATGGACATGAGGCCAGAACAGAACTGGGCAGCAAGTCAGAGGGGAGAGGTGATATAAGAAACCTGCTCCCAGAGCCAAGATCCCTCCAGAGCCAAGACCTTTGGGGGCAAGTTGTGCAGTAACACACGATCTCCAGGAAAATGAACTAAGTGGGGTGATGTTTTTATGCATAAAAGAAGTGCTAATCCATTCCTTGGTGAAATCTTGTCAAGCCAAGAGTCTAAAGAGACTCGTGCTCTCGCTGCAAGTGGATCTATAGAGCCTGCCAGCTCCACTTGGGCCATAATGGAGCAGCAAAGCTCACCTAAATCTTCTGTCACTTTGTGCTCCCTCAGGGAGCAGGAAGGACCAGTGCCCTAGGTCTGGAATTCCCACTGTCACCTTCTCTTTGTTACCCTGCCCAGATAACACAGACAGACCCCAATGGTGAAGATGCTTCCCTTGGACTGGGCCACTGCCTTAAGGTTTTCCTCTGGAGCGAGGAGACTCCCATATTCTTCAAACCATTACAGCAGAAATATGTGGTTTCCATCTGTAGGGAAGTTTCCCTTGCAGAGCACCACTGCTAAAGTCATCACTGCAGCTGTCCAAGTGTCTACTTCATGACAGCTTTATTTTTAGAAACACTTTTCCCAACAGACTACTCAGATGTCACCCTGAGGGCTTCCCCAGCTGAGCACACCCTGGGTTCTCCTTCAGGACTTGTTCAAGGAAATTGTCACCTTGAGAACATCAGCCACTTCCCCAAGGATTTGGGAGCTCTGGGCACTCATGTTTCTGCCAGAAGCATCTCACTTTCTTGCAGTCTTATGTAGCAGAGCCTCCCTAGGGCAAGTCTTTGATGTGATGGGAACCTCATACCAGCAATGAAAAGCATCTGTAGTGATGGGCTCCTGCAAACACCCAGAGCCACAGATCCTAATGCTCCATCCCGGAGCAGAGGAGGCTTCAGGAACAGCTCCACACCGTGGGCTGTTTGTTCAGAATTTTAGAACACAAAATCTGGCTCTCCTGACACTTTTCTTTTTTTTTTTTCATAAGTCAGATAAACCGAAGTAACCCCCAGTGACTGGAAAAGAAAGTTGTAATCTCTCCTGCCATTCCTCCAGGTGTCCAGAGCCCAGAGCAGGGGGGTCCAGCTCTGCAGAGAGCACTACACACAGTGGTGTCTCTGCTCTCAGGGTCAGGAACTGGATTTTGATGATCCCTCTGGGTCCTTTCCAACTCAGGATATTCCATAATTCTGTGATTCTCTATTCTACACTTATCTGCATGGTGGAACACAGCACCTCATCCAACCAACCTGGCACTCTACAGCTCTGCAGGCCAGGGAGCCAGGAAGTCTTTAACAATTTGCTATTATAAGGGAGAATGGAGGGTGGTGAGGATCTAAATCCTGGGATTCAGCCAGAACTCGGCACTAAGGAACAGTCACCTGCTGCCAAATGAGCCAAAACGTAGGATTTGAGGTGCTGAAACAATGAAGTTCCTGGCAGTGCCTTGCTGAAAAGACAGAACAAGGAGCAGAAGACACAGGAATTAAAAGCCAAGACACAGGAATTATAAAGTCATGCAACAAGTGAGCACGGGGCAGGGAGGGAGCCCAGAGCCCCAGCTCCCTGCTCTGCTGTGCCCAGCACCACAGAGCTGCAGGGAGAGCACAGACACCAGAGCCATGGCCAGATGAGCCAGACAGCCCTGCACTGCAAGCCTGCCATGAACTGGCTCCTCTCTGCCGGTCACCAGGATTCTCCCACCAGCCAAATCCAAAAAGAAGCCTTGCCTTTGTTGAATTTGTTGGACGAGCAAGTGTCTTCTCAAAATAAAAAAGGGTAGCCATGGCAACAACTGTATTTAGGAATAGGAGGGGGGATAGAAACCCCAGCAACAGGCTACAGCTCTGCCATTCAGGCATATTTGGGTGGAAAAAATATAAGCCTGGCTCAGTTGTTGGCTTGAGCCTGTTGTTGCCAAAACTGGGGTTCCCTGAGGCTACCACTGTCATCTTATTCTCTGAAGAACCAGCCCCTCTCTCCAAGAGGAGCATGAGATGCTGACACACCAGAAAGGAATGTGGGTTAACTTCTGCCCTGCTGATCTTTGCATCTCCCAAACCCAGGATGCAGGTGGAAATTGTGGCTGGGACTGAGCAACACATGAGGTGTTTGACTGCCTGATAGAAGGGATGGAAACAAGCCATAAGACAATAGCAGTGAACCAAAACACACATTAGATCCCTCTCCAAGACTGATTGATTTTTTAAAGCGTGTTTCCTGGAGAGGAACACACCACACTCTGCTCTGGCTGTTTACAAACAGAAATACACAGCCCCGGGCTCAAGCAGCCCTTGAAGGATGTTGCATTTGCATCACAACACTGCACACAGAACCACCAGAGGAGATTTAACCCTAAAAGACATAAACGTCGAGTCACAGATCCGCAGAATTCCTCAGCACTACAGGCTCTGGAAACAGTGTCACTGGATGGGTCCACAGAGGTCACGATGGATACCCTGTATTCGATTTAAGCCTGAGGAAGAGCTCCAATATAAACACTGCGATCTAAACCGACTTGTTAGAGGGGAAAAAAAGGGTTAAATGCATCTCCTGACCTTGAGTGGAACCACAGCAAACAATATTTTGTCCACCTAAAATTCATTCTGTGGGCACCCGGACCCAGCCCGTCCTCCAGCATTGCACACCCAACTGCTGGCTCCCCAGGGTGGATTCCCACCAAACCTCTCCTCAGGGAGCTCAGCAAATCCCTCTGGAGACTCCAAATCTAGTGACAGCTGCTGGAAGAGTCGCTCTGGCAGATGCACTAAGGCTGGGATGACAGACTAGACAAAGGAGGTAAGAGTTCGTGGATGGAGTAACGTGTGTCCTCAGCCTTCCCTGCCGAGACCTCCCCGTGGGCTAAAATGCCGTTTTCCCACAGTTAGGCATTTATGGAAGGAGGACAACTGAGGGGAGAAAGGGGGAGGAGGAATACACACACTGTGTTTGCCTTCCGGTCCCCGGCAGCTCTTGCCAGAGGAGCCCAGTGCTGGTCAGCGGGCTCAGAAAAGCCAATTCTTACTCCTCCTCCTCCTCCTCCTTCTCCCCCCTTTTTAGGGAGCCGTGTGCCGCGGCATCCATCAGCCCCAAACATGCCAGTCAGACCTTTCTAGTCACGGATCAACCTCTTGAGAAGAAGGTGGGCTTGTTTCCTTGCAATGGGCAGCACAGTGTGACAACAAACTTTACCGACGGATCCCTTCCCTCTCCCTTCACTTCCCGGGCAGACACAGGGTAGAGAGTGGAGCCACATCTCGGAGCCTGCCCAGCCAGCCCCTGCGAGCCCTGCCTGCGCTGGTGCTGCTTCACAGAGGTTTAATTTTTACGGCCAAAGGGAGAAGAAATGGAATAGGCGTGACGCAGCTGAACTCGCCCATCCAACACGCTCCCCTCGCTTGCGATCAGCGATTCGGACTCACGGCTGTTCTAATTCCAGACAGCCACGGGGGGAAGGAAACGGGCACAACATCTTAGAGCTCTCTAAAGCCAAAGGCTGAACGTGCCCAAGGCTTGTGGCTGGGCAGCAAAGCCAGCGGCAGGTAGCGACGGGAGCGAGGGAAGTTCGGGCAGAGTGTGCACACAGACACGCACAGGGCAGGTCACTCACCTTGGAGCTGCGCTGACAGCGCTTCCTGCTGCTGTTTGTATTTCTGGGCCAGGGCTTCTGCGTTCCGCACCTTCTGCTGCAAGTGGTTGTAGAGGAAAACTCCGGAGCCCAGGCACGCCACGGTGACCAGGCAGAAGGCGGTCTGCAGGAGCCCCTTCTGCCTCCTGGAGCACATGCCGGTGCCCATGGTGGGGCCGGAGCACAGCGATGCGGCGCTGCCTCGCCGGCGCCGCTAAACCATCTGATTAAATCTGCCCAACAGCCCCTTTCCTCCGCAAATTCGCAGATCCCTCTGGAAGATGCGATCCGAGTCTCGCCTTCCCTCCTTTCCGGCGCTCAGAGCGGCGGGAGAGGCTCCAGCCGCGCTCTATTCCCGGCTGTCCATCGCGGAGCAGCGCAGCTCCCGGCCGGGGTCCGAGCGGAGCGGCCGCGGGAGCATCCTCGGGATGCGGGGACCGGGGGGCGGCCCGGGGGGGCTGCGGGGTGAGGGCAGCCGGCGGAGGGGAGAGAGCAGGAGCAGGAGAGGCAGGAGGAGCGGCGGGAGGAGGAGGAAAACTTTTGCTTCCCATGTGCTGCAGCGGCCGGGGGGGGCGGGAAGGGGGTACCGCCGCCTTTGGCTCTTCCCACCTCCCCCGCTGGAGCAGCGGCCGGAAAAAATAACCCGGCGGGAGGAGAAGCCCTTGGGCCCCCTCCCCGCGGCTCCCGGGAGGAAGCGGCGGCACCGGGAGCCGAGAGCCGGGCCAGGAAAGCGGCGGCGGTGGCATCCGGGCTGCGGCGGCGGCGAGTCCGCCCTCCCAGGCGGGAGGGGCCGGGGGGGGGACCGGGGGGATCGCAGCACCCCGAGCCCCTGGGGACACCCAGGGACACCCGTGGGGGACCCGCAGTCCCTGCCCCGGTGGTGCAGGGGGATCCCACCCGCCTTCCTGCGCGGAGGAAGCGGCATCGCCGCCCCCAGCCCAGCCTTGAGCCCCCGACCTCTCCCACGCGCGTGTATTCCCCTCCCTGATCCAAAGGAGCGGCCACACCCACCGCCGGCACCTGTTGGGAACGGGAGGTGGGTGAGGGACACGGGAGGGCATCCTCACGTGAGTGCTTTAAGACCCGCAGGGTTTTAAGAGCTGCGGTTTCTTCTCGCTAAAATACGAGCTGATAAAGGCACGAGAACAGCACAAGGAGAAGGGGGTGAGCGGCTTTTTCATACAGTCACAGAATGGTTTGAGTCAGAAGGGACCTTAAAATTGATCCTGTTCTACCCCCTGAGACACCTTCAACTATCCCAGGTTGCTCCAAGCCCCAACCAGCCCGGCCTTGGACACTTCCAAGGGATGGAGGATTCCAAGGTCAGCGTCGAATTTTGGGGAGCAGAATGCCAATTTGAGCACAGGGCTCCTGCAAGCGAACAACTGCAGGAGATTCCTCCAAGACAAAAGGTGCCAGCACAGAAAGCTCAAGCTGCCCATGGAGTGCCAAGAGTGGCACATAAACTGCACTTGAGAGACAGAGGGTCAGGGCTTTCTTTCCTGGGTGGAAGGGCAGTCGTTCGCTTGCAGGAGAGCTGCGCTGGAATTGGGAGGTTCCACCCAGGAAAGAAAGCCTCATGTGCAGTTGCTGGGCCACTCTTGGCACTCCATGGACAGGCTTTTTGTGCTGGCACCTTCTGTCTGGGAGGAATCTTCGTGTTCCTGGCAGCTGATCCTCTCCCAAGCACCTGCCTTTAAAGTGGACTGTTCTCTTCCTGGCAGAACCCAACCTGCTTTATCGAGGTGTGTGATGCACAAGGTGATTAGATGGCCCCTAAAGGTCCCTTCCAATCCATTCCATGATTCTGCTCTTCATGGCACAGCCAAAGCCTTGCCCATGCTCTGAGCTCAGGTCTGTTTAAGACCCCCGTGTTTTTGATGACTTGCCTGCACCAACAGTCTGACTTTTAGGTTGGCTCACCTCTTAGCTCACAAGGATTCTTCCCCTGGAATCCTGCCAAGTTCCATATTTCGGGCATCTGGGGAATAAGCAACAATCATAACAATTCTTCATCAGCAATTCCCCTCTAAGGATCACGTGTGGTTTTATAAATGGCAATCAAATGAGCTTTACAGCACTGCAGGGAATCAGCTGAGTGGCATTTCTGTCACCCCAATGTGTCGATGGGAAAACTGAGGCACAGCAGTTCCTGTAAGGTTATGATTTCTCCAAAGTAACTTTTTTATGGTGGGGTTTTTTTCCCCCCGAAGTCTTTGAAGTGGATTTGAGGTGTCTGCCAGACCCTGGGTGAGACTCAGCCTGGTGGAAATGGGATGATCTGGCTGGTGGTCCTGGCTCTGGGTACAGCTCCCAGAAAATATCACAGACTTTCCTTAATGAATTAACTGATTATTTCAGGCTTTTCTTTCAGAATAGCACTGATAGGCTGTTCCATGCGGATTTTGTCTCCCATGGATGTAGGACCAAGGATAACCTGATTCACATCTCTCAGTTCCAGACACTCCACCTACCCTGTATCTGCCAGTTTTCCTGACCCACTGTGTCTTTACACAGAAGTCCTGGGGGGGGTTGTTGGATGCTCCAGCATCTCTTCAGGCTGTTTGTCAGGAGCTGGAATGTCTTTTGTCTGCATCCTGAGGACTGAGCAGGCAGCCCATGGGATGAGGGCTTTGAGTCTCAGTTTTGCCTCTATTCAGCACATTCTTCATAGTTGTTTTTTTTTTTCTCCTGCTCTCATTAATTACTTCCTGATGTGCTGGTTCCTGCCCTGAGAAACACTGGGAATTCCTGAGGCTTTGACAGAGAGGAGTCTGGAAAAGGTTAAAATCCTGAATTAGGGAATGTTTATCTGAGAAAGATTTGATTGACAGAGTTTCTGGGATCAAGCACTTTTCTACACTGCAATAAAGGCAGTTATAGATTTAATTCTGTCTTTCTTCACCAGATCCAGGGCCAGATGAACTGTACAGCCATGGTTAGAGCCAAAGGCTTTGCTTCTTGCTCGTGCTTTGCCAGCATTTGTGTGATTCAGAGGATTCTTCCTTGTGCAAATTACTACAACATCCCACATCTCCACAGGTCTGCTGCCACCAGGAATGAGCATTTTTAGGAAGATACAGAGGAGGGAGAACAACCCTGAGCTAAACAAATGGGCCATAGGTGAGAGAGCTCCCTTCAAATCCAACTCAAAATGCTTTGTGCCTCAGAGATTATCTGATCATCTCCTTTTGCTCCCTCTAATCCAGTGGGTGATCACATCTGATGACAGCTTTAAAATAATAATCTGAGCAGAACAAGCAATTCCCATGGGAAAGCTCTGACTGTACGTGCTTGTAAAGAAAATGCCACTCTTTCCCCTCGTAGAACAAACCATGAGTATTAACCATCTGTGCAAGTATTGCAGTCCTGGAGAGCTCCATCCTTTTAATGGGAGCTTTGGATTTCATAGCAGGCATTTAATCGGCTGGGGGAGTGTTTTCAGCCAGGTTATGTAAATGCTGTCAAGAAACCATGTGTGTGGAAAAGATGGATGTAAGGAATGTGCTAGCAGGAGGCAGAGGGGAGGCTGGATTGTTTCGGGGCTGCAGTTTCACAGCAGTGTTTTATAAACCTGCTGATCAAATTGGAAACATCCACAACCCTTGGAAACAGGCCGAGCAGGACATTGTCACCCTACAGACTTGATGGGGCTTGGATGTGCATTCCAGGGAGCTCCACTGTGGGAATCCAGTGCACAAATGTGGGAGGGAATAGGCTGAGCAGGAGAGGAGTTTGAGGCAGGAGTCCAGAGAATGAGAAATGGCAGGCACAAATGTTTGAAAGATAAAGTGTTCTCAAGTGGGCATCTGTATGTGCATGAATTTAGAGCACCAGAAGAACCTCCCAGCACTCCTGGAGGTGCCTGCCCTTTCCCCACACAGAAATTCCCAAAGAATTTCTTACAGGAGCGAAAACGCCCTAAATTAAACCATTCCTAGGGACAGACCTCATCCCTGTGTCTCCAAGGTTAAGAGGCAGGAAACCTGAACCACTCTGAACCACTCCTTCCTTCCCATAACGAGGAGAGACAGCTTCTAATTAGGATTCATTAGAGCTGCCCCAGGGAGCCGATGGGACCATTTTTCAGGATGCTTTGTTGGAATTATTTTTCGTCTCGCTCTCTCCCTGTTGGCTCAGAGCTCTCCATTCTCTTCCCCAGGACCTAAGGATGTGCTTTGAACCATCTCAGTGCTGTGCCTAAAAGTGGGGATATGGGATCTTGAGAACCCTTGGTGCTCTCACAGCCCTGGCAGACCTCGGGGACAAGCACTGAGCAGACTGTGGGCATGGCCATGACACAGGAGAATGGGAACAAAGGAGCAAAATGAGCATAAACCTTGTCTTTTTGATGAGGTTCTAGGGTCAAGTTCATCATCTAGAAGAGTATTAGAAACTGGAGTGCAAGGGGAATTATGTTACATCCACAATTACCAGAAGAGGTCTGGATATTTTGGTGTGTTACTTGGTACTTGCCTTGAAACATCAGCTCCCAGAGTCAAAGTATTATGAGAGAAGCTCATTATTCTTTCAAAAACCAATCTTTATTCCAAGAACTTACAGTGCAGAAAACCTCCACCATGTGAGCTTTTGCACCTTAATTCCTTTGGAAAAAGAAAGCATCTTTACCTTTTAATTCCACCTCATCTTTCACACTTTGGACTGGAAATCTCCCTGCAGAGGATATTTTGCCTTGAGTCCTGAACCGGTCTGTGATTTGGGGTAGTTTTAATCCAAAGCAATGAGAATTGGATTCAAAGGGACAAAACCAAACGAGAAGGAGCAAAGAACACATTCTGCATGGAAAAGGCACCACAGCACAGCAACAGCCCTGTGACTCCACTGCCTGTTTGCTTTCAGTGTCACTCACGGAGCCGCTCAAAGCGAAGCCAATGCCCTTTAAATATGTGCAAAGCCTTTACTGCCTTTCCAAGGAACAGACATTTTTATTAGAGCCAGGGAACATTCCAGCTTCCAAAGGTAATAAAAATGCAGTGTGCCAGAAAACAATAGCAAACTAGCAAAGGGGGGTTTTGCCTCGTTGAACTGAAGGGCCCTGAAGGATTCTGACTCCACGCTCTGCTCAGCCCTGAAGCATCAGGCAGCCAAGTCCAGGGTGGTAGGGGCTCCTCTTCTTCCACTGGATCCTTTTGTCTCCAGGTCAGGCTAAAGGCAGAGGTGCCAGGAGAAGTCTTTGCACGTGGTTAACAGGGATAAAGCCTCAACTGTCCATTCCAGAGAAGCATTAGTGGAAAAAGGTGGTTGTGCTGGAGGGGAGCCAGTGAGGCAGTGGGTGAAGCCCTGCCCATGGGAGAAGAGCTTGGCAGGACTAATCACAGCCTGCTGGGCTCACCCACAGATATGAGCCTTCCTCATATCCAAGGGTGAAGGAATTTACCTCCAGTTCTCTTCCTCATGGGCTCTGTTCTGCCTGGAGAGAAACTCTGCCACAGAGAGAACACCGGCACTCGCACTGAAGTTTTTCTTCCTACGTGACCACTGAGCTTTGTGAAGTCCAGTGTTACTGTTCAATGAATAACATCTGCTCAAACACCCCGTGTTCAACTCCCGTGCTGTAACATGGGCTGGGGAAGGACTCTAGACATGAGCATGACCAAGACAGCACATCATTCTGCAAGTCTTTCCAGCACCTCTGCGTTGCTGGGCTTTATTTCTGCCT